CTGTAAACACACGAGTCAAAGTAAAGCCGTACACTGAGCCGAACTTCCTGAATCTTTTTACAAACACAAGCTGAAGCTGAATGATTTACTTTGCCGTTTCCTGCTTGTATTGTTAGAATATAAGCTGCCAGATGTGCCCCGGTGGGATTAGAACTAGTTCTGCCACGACTTGCGAGGAGCTTCACCCTCTTTCTCCTGTCTGTCACCCCTTTAGAAACTGGGCATGTTGGCTCTCATCAACGAGGAGAGTCGCTTCCCCAAAGGCACAGACTACACCCTCCTGGAGAAGCTGCACAGTCGACACGCGGTGAGTCCAAACAATGAAAAACTCTGTGTCTCCATCAGGCGTGCAGCAGCACACTCCAACCCCCCCACCCTCCAGACGCCCGTGAAGCAGTAAAGAAAATAACCTGCAGCTGTGGTTGAGGGAACACTTTTATCGTCTCTAAAAAGAGCTCGTTCCTGGCCGGTGTGCGTGTTGAACACGCCTATGGGCGCTTTTTTTACACACGACAATGCTGAAACGTGATCGGTCTTTCTCCAGATCTGATCAGCTTTGTGCRGGAGAGAAAAGAGTTTTCTATGGCTGACAAAAAAAAAAAAAAAGGCAAGATAAAAACTTATAGGAACGGCCTGACCTTTCCCCCGGGTGTTGATCTCTGACAAGTTTTAATGTTTTTTCTTTTGTCATCATTAGGGCTTTCATATTATTTGTTTCAACATCAGATAGAAGGGGCTGCTTGAAAATGTAAATAGTGTGTATAAATATAGAAAGCAGGAAATGAGAGGAAATGAGAAATTGCATAAAGTACATTTGCAGGTTAAACAAGCATTACGTAAGTGTGCACCTGGTCCACTAACATGAATATTTAGCCCTTTGTAATAACTACACATTATATAAYCTTCCTTAATCATTRATAAATGGTTAGATATTTAGTTTAGAGAACATTTGAATTGACTATTTACTAATGCTGCAGGGCATCAATATTCAAGGCTAGTAGTTAGTCAAGTCTTTTTATGAACTCTTCTAAAGTGAAGACTGCTTAAGATTTTTTAAGTTTTTAATGTAGACAAACCCCTGAAGAGCCACGATCTAACCTTTTCACCTGTGGAAATTAGACAGAAGTCATAGTTAGTTTAATTATTCTCTATCTAATAATGTCTAATGCATGGTGTAATGAGCATACATACATTTAGTATATAGAATAGTTCATTTGAAAGACATTTTATGGTGATTAAATAAATAGATACAGCCTCATATCTTCTGTGATATACAGCGGGTAAAATAAGTATTGAACACGTCAACATTTTTCTCAGTAAATATATTACTAGAGGTGCTAATGACATGAAATTTTCACCAGATGTTGGTAACAACCCAAGTGATCCATACATACAAAGAAATCAAACCATAAATGTCCAGAAATGAAGTTATTTGTAATAATGTGGAATGGCACAGGGAAAAAGTATTGAACCAGCTGATATTAACTTGCACTGACAAGGGGCAGGCTTGTTTTCTAATTACTGAGAGAGTTCAGCTGGTGTC